AGAATTTATCGAAAGTATACGTATGCTCGCCAACTGCCCTTCTGAATTAAATGTTTTTCCTTTAGGCACTATCCCTTCAAACGACCTTTTGCGGTACGCAGACATTTTTGTGGCTGATGTGTGGGTATGCGCTACGCGAACATTACTCCGTAACAAACTTCTCAGAGCTATACAGGGGGTTTTGAGCAACAAGTTTGCATCATGAAAAATGTGAACGCTAAACAACAGGGCTTCATTATTGCTGGCCTTTACAGTTCGTTTTACACTTTATTCTGTAAAACCTTGTTTCAGTGGATCGCACACGGACTAAAAAGAAAAGAAAATGTGCCGGAGGAACAGAGCAAGCGGAGGCACCAAAGGACATCCTAGTGGCCGTTGCTGAGCTACAGAACTTGAGTGGTTTTTGGAAACTTGAGGCCGAATTGGCTGACCTCCTCGACTGTCAACTGGAGAAGCTGAAGTCTAAAAAGCCACAAAAGTGTGAGTAAGAAAACTACAATCTACTTTATCTTCTGTCATCACAGGGGGCTGAAATTACTTGTCATGCTTGAATTTTTAATGTGAAGCACTTGAGTGCTTGTAATGATGGTAATGTCGGTTTAATTTAGACTGGCCACCGTGATAGTTTGGATACTGATAAATTACAGGGAGTATAATGCCGACTCGCGTAGTTGGGCTCATTTATAGCCACCTTAACTGAACTTTCTAGCGCTGCTGCACTTAAAAAATGCATGTCTTAACTATTCGCTCGTGAAGACAGGGACGATCTTAAATCGTTTCTAACCTTCAGCCTCATTTTTTCAAATGCAACTATAGTCATTCAGTAGCTTCTACTCAAGTGCCGTAAGTGCTGGAGTTCAAGATCAAGGGCCTATTCAAAGTTGACTGTGAAAATCAGCATTTAAATTGTCAATCTAGCCGGCTGACACGATAGGTCAATGTGCGCCACCGAGCAGAAGTGCCTCTACTGAAATGCCAAACGTAACTGGTCAACAACTGAGATTTTACCCGCAGTACGAGATTATACTAAACACTTAAAACAGTTTTCAAGTTAGGCGAATGAACATACTCCATTAATTTATCATCAGGCAATACAGTAATATAAGGGAGGGAAGAGTTGACGAATGTTTCAGGCAAAAGAGTCAGTAGCAACAAGGCGGAAGAAGGGGAAAATATGTAAAGGGATCAAAAGAGGGATCGGATTCTAATACTAATTGGGGGGAGGAGGGAAGGGGAAAGAGGGCGACAATTAGTTAATGTCGTCTCGTGGTCCGTGTATCGAGTTTTGTTGGGAGGTATGAGGATGCAAGGTGTCAACGTCTTGTGACGGCGTCGGTGGCGTGTGAATGCTTGATGCCGCAGTCTCGTCAAACGCCTCACAAACTCAAATTTATGTGCACAGAAAGCGTTTGTAGCGACCTTAAGGCTCCCGTGGCCGAAGGCCATTTAAACACCCACCCTCATGCCTCTTACCACTCCGCGAAACAATGGCGAGACAATAGACACTCTCCCCTTCCCCTCCTCCTCTCACCCCGTAATCTGGTCCCCAATCAAGACTAAACTCTGATCCCTATGATCCCTTTACATCCCTCTCCCCTCTCTCCCCCCTTGTTAATACTGACTGGTTCGCCTTAAAATTTTGTTAACTCTATCCTCCGTTATATCACTGTACTGCCTGATGATGAATTAACCGAAAACGTTCGTTCGCCTAACTTGCCTTCCTGAATGTTTACATGGGTATCATCGCTGAACTTGAAAAAATGTAAATAGGGGTAGACCGATCAGATACAGGGCACGCCCGTCCTGTTTTTGGATGTCCAGTGTCTTCGGGATCCCCTAAACCTTGCCACGGTAATATGTCCTAAAAATTAAAATAAGTGTGTTGAAAGGTGTCTGTGTACATATATGTATCCCGCTCCCCATCCCCTAAAGAAGATAAAGAAGAAAAGGCGCCTTCATGAACCATACTGCATTAGTGCTGACGTTTCGAAAACATGCTTGTTTCCATCAGAGTGGTAAAGTGATCGTTCCTGCTTCCTTTGATCTGTTTTGTCTTGCTGACTGTCTTTAGCCCAACGCACCGACCCTGGTCATCCTGTTGGTCGTGGAGTGGCCTCTGCATCTCTGTGGGCGACTGCAGACAACCTCGCGTGACACCTGTCAC